CTACTCAGTCCTAAAAAAATTTTTTTTGCACTTTGTGATAGTGTGGATGCACCTGGAGAACATTACACTATGTGAAGTAAGCCAGTCAGAAAAGACAAATACCATATGATTTCACTTATATGTGGAATCTAATGAACAAACTGAACTAACAAGCAAAGTAGAGACAGACTCATAGAGAGGGATCAGGATGGCATATAAGGATGGTGGAATGGTTGGGTATGGAGGGATTGAGCAAAAAGCAGAAAGGACTCATGAACATGGACAACAGTGTGGTGACTGTGGGAGTGGTGAGGGGTTATAAGGACACTAAGTGGTAATGAAAAAATACAAAAAAAAAGAAACAAAGAGATAGGATTCAAATAAATAAAGCCAGAAATAAAAGGTGATTACCAATTGACACCACAGAAATGCAAAGGATTATAAGAAAATATTACAAACTATATGCCAAAAATTGGAAAAACAGATGAAATGAATAGATTTCTAAAAACATAATCTTTCAAAAGTTAATCAAGAGGAAACATAATATGATTACGAGTAATGACATAGAGGAAGTAATCTAAAAGCTCCCAGCAAACAAAAGTCCTGGACCGAATGGTTTCATAGGTGAATTTTACCAAACATTCAAAAAAGATCTAACACTTGCTCTTAAACTGTTCCAAAACATTCAAGAGGATTGAGAATTCTGAAGCTCCTTTTATGAGGTCAGAGTTATCTTAATTCTAAAACAAGATAAAAATACTACAAAGAAAGAATATTACAGGCCAATATCTCTAATGAACATAAATGCAAAAATCTTCAACAAAATATTAACTAATCAAGTCCAGCAATACATTTAAAAGGTCACATACCACAATGAAGTAGGATTTATTCCTGGGATGCGAGGTTGGTAACAATATCCACAAATCAATTAATGTGATACAACACCTAAATGAAATGAAAAATAAAAACCATATGATCATATTCACAGAAGTATAAAAAGCATTTGACAAAATCCAGCATCTATTTTTGATGCTAGAACTCTGAGCAAAATGTGAATAGGGGGAACATACCTCAACATAATAAAGGCCATATATGCAAACCTAAAACCAACAGGAAAAAACTAAAAGCATTTTCCTTAAAATCAGGAACAAGACAGAGATGTCTGCTTTCACAATTTTTTTTTAAAATCTAGTTTATTGATTGTTATTACAGTTGTCCCATTTTCCCCCTTCACTCCCCTCCACCCTGCAAACCCTCTCCCACCCACATTTCCCCTCTTTAGTTCATGTCCATGTGTCATACTTATAAGTTCTTTAGCTTCTACATTTCCCATACTATTTTTACCCTCCCCCTGTCTATTTACTACCTACCATCTATGCTAATTATTCTCTGTACCTTTTCCTGCTCTCTCTCCTCCCAGTCCCCTGTTGCTAACCCTCCATGTGATCTCCATTTCTGTGGTTCTGTTCCTATTCTAGTTGTTTGCTTAGTTTGTTTTTGTTTTTGTTTTAGGTGTGGTTGTTAATAATTGTGAGTTTGCTGTCGTTTTATTGTACATGTTTTTTTATCTTCTTTTTCTTAGAGAAGTCCCTTTAACATTTCAGATAATAAGGGCTGGGTGATGATGAAGTCCTTCAACTTGACCTTTTCTGAGAAGCACTTTATCTGCCCTTCCATTCTAAATGAAAGCTTTGCTGGATAGAGCAATCTTGGTTGTAGGTCCTTGCCTTTCATGACTTGGAATACTTCTCTCCAGCCCCTTCTTGCATGCAAGGTCTCTTTTGAGAAATCAGCTGACAGTCTGATGGGAACTTCTTTGGAGGTTACTGTTCCCTTATCTCTTGCTGATTCTAGGATTCTCTTAATTTTTACCTTGGCTAATGTCATTATGATGTGCCTTGGTGTGTTCCTCCTTGGATCCAACTTCTTTGGGACTTTCTGAGCTTTCCTGGACTTCCTGGAGGTCTATTTCCTTTGCCAGATTGGGGAAGTTCTCCTTTAGTATTTGTTCAAATAACTTTCCCACTTGTTGCTCTTCCTCTTCTGATACCCCTATAATTCAGATGTTGGAATGTTTAAAGATGTTCTGGAGGTTCCTAAGCCTCTTCTTGTTTTTTCAAATTTTTGTTTCTTCCTTCTTTTCTGTTTGGTTGTTTCTTTCTTCCTTTTGGTCTACTCCATTGATTTGAGTCCCAGTTCCCTTCCCATCATTATTTGCCTTTATTTCACTTAGCATAGCCTTCATTTGTCCATCTAATTTGCAACCATATTCAACCAATTCTGTGAGCATCCTGATCACTAGTGCTTTGAAATGTGCATCTGATAGGTTGGCTATCTCTTCATTGCTTAGTTGTATTATTTGTGGAGCTTTGATCTGTTCTTTTGTTTGGGCCATTTTGTTTTTGTCTTGATGCACTTGTTACATAGTGAGGGGTAGAGCCTTAGGTGTTCACTAGGACAGGGCAACTCAGTTGCTGGGTTGTGACGCAGTATGTGGGGGAGCGGTCTGAGAGGGAACAATGGTGCTTGCTCTGCTCTGCCAGATTTCAGTCTCTTTTGCCACTTCCCCCAAGCAAACTGGGCCCTTCTGGTGCTGATTCCTGAGTGGGTGGGCTTGTGTACATTCTAGGACCCTGTGGGTCTCTCCAATGAACTCCCCTATGAGGCTGGGAGTCTCTCTTGGCACCTCAACTCCCACAGGTGTTTTCAATCGGTGTTTTCAATCAGTGTTTTGAGGCTTTATTTCCCTGCACTGGAACCCTGGGTTGTGCAGTCTGTCTCACTCCCGTTTCACCTGGTTTATCTGTGCATGAATGTGGGACCTCCTGGTCCGCCAGCCACCTTGTGCACCAAGCCCCTCCACAATCCACTGCTTTGCTGGGTCTACCAGCTGCTGCCTTGCTGCAAGTCCTCTCCATCCAGCCACCTGACTCTGCCCCTCTTACCGGTCTGGATGAATGTTTCTTTTTAACTCCTTGGTTGTTGGGCTTCCATACAGTTCAGTTTTCTGTCAGTACTGGTTGTTTTTTGTTTCTAAATTTTTCTTGTCCTTATTTTGGTTGTGCAAGGAGGTGCAGTGTGTCTACCCACACCTCCATCTTGGCCGGAAGTCCTGCTTTCACAATTCTTGTTTGAATAGTATTGAAAGTCCTAGGAACAGTAATAAGACAAGAAGAAGAAATAAAGGGCAGCTAAATAGGAAAGGAAGAAGGAAAATTGTTATTGTTTGCAGAAGACATAATATTGTATATAGACAACTCTAAAGAGTCCACCAAAAAAACTACTAGAATTGATAAATAAGTTTGGTAAAGTAGCAAAGTATTAAATTAATATTCTGAATTCAGTTGCATTTTTATACACCAATAATAAATTTTCAGAAAGAAAAACTAAGAAAACAATTCTGTTATAGTTACATAAAAAATAATGTACCAAGGAAAAAAATTATCCAAGGAGATAAAGAACTGTACTCAGAAAATTATGAGACACCAAAGAAAGAACTTGAAGAAGATACAAATAAGTGGAAGCATATATTGTAGTCATGAATAGGAAAAGTTAACATTATTAAAATGCCATACTACCTAAACCAATCTATAAATTCAACCTAATTCCTATTAAGAAACTAATGGCATATTTCATAGAATGAGAAGAAATAATTCAAGAACATATATGGAACCAAAAAAGACCCTGAATAGCAACAGCAATCTTTTTATTGTATTTTTCCATTACAATTTATGCCCTTTAAACCCTCTTCCACCTCCACCCACCTCCCCACTCCCACAATCACCACACCGTTGTCCATGTCCCTGAGTCCTTTCTGTTTTTTGTTCAATCACTGCACTCCCCAGCTTCCATCCCTAGAACTGTCAGCCTGCTCTCTATCTATGAGTTTGTCTAATCTTGAGAAGGAAAAACAAAATTGGAAGTTTTATACTATCTGATATTAAACTATACTACAACGCCATAATAATCAAAACAGCAAGGTACTGGCATAAAAACAAACATATAGGTCAATAGAACAGAATAAGTCTACAAATAAATACCTGCCTATATAGTCAATTGGTATATAACAAAAGGCAATAATATACAGTGGGGTAAAGACAGTATATTCAATAAACTTTGCTGGCAAAATTAGACATATACATGCAAAAAAAATGAAATGAGACCACCCTTTAATATCATACACAAGAATAAACTCAAAATCAAAAACTGAAATGTAGGTGAGATCATATGGTATTTGTCTTTTATCACCGGGCTTGCTTCACTTTGCATAATGCTTTTCAGTTCCATCCATGCTGTCATGAAAGGTAGGAGCTCCTTCTTTCTTTCTGCTGCATAGTATTCCATCATGTAAATGTGCCATAGTTTTTGGATCCACCATTTACTGATGGGCACTTAGGTTGCTTCCAACACTTGGCTATTGTAAATTGTGGTGCTATGAACAGTGAAGTGTATAGGTTCTCTTGAAATGGTGTTTCAGGGTCCTTAGTGTATTTACTTGAACAATAATAAAAAAATAAAAACATTAATTTCAGAGTTTGAAAAAAACCTTAGATGTAAGACTCAAAACCATAATACTCTTAGAAGAAAACACAGGCAGCAAAATCTCTGACATTTCTCTTACAGCATTTGCTGTTCTGATATATCTCCTCAGGCAAGGGAAACAAAAGAAAAAATAAATAAATGGGATTTGGGATTGCATCAAACTAAAAAGATTTTGCACAGCACAGGAAACTATCAATAAAGCAAAAAGACAATGTACTGAATGGGAGATGATACTTGCCAGTGATACATCTAATAAAGGGCTAATATCCAAAATGTATTAATAATTCAGACAATTTAACTCCAGAAAAACAACCAATTAAAAGAGGGCACAAAACATAAATAGACACTTCTCCAAGGAAGACATACAGATGGCCTATGAACATATGAAAGGATGCTCAACATCCCCCATCATCAGGGAAAAGCAAATCAAAATCATAATGAGATACCACCTCATACCTGTCAGAATGGCTACTATCAATAAATCAACAAACAAATGTTGGCAAAGATGTGTAGAAAAGGGAACCCTCATGCTCTGTTGTTGGGAGCCACTATGGAAAACACTGTAGAGTTTCCTCAAATAATTTAAAATGGAATTGTCTTATGAACCAGTAATTCTACTTTCAGGAATATATCCAAAGAATCCCAAACCACTAATTCAAAAGAATATGTGCACCCCCATTTTTATTGCAGCAATATTTATAATAACCAAGAAATAGGAGACATAGAAGTTCCCCTGAATAAAAAAGCTATATATACATATAACACAATGGATTACTATGCATAAAAAATGAAGTCTTAACTTTTGTGGCAGCATGGATGTGCCTAGATGGAATTATGCTGTTATTTTACATTATGCTATGTAAAATAAGTCAGACAGAAAAGGACAGATATATGATTTCAGTTAAATGTGAAATCAAAGGAACAAAATAAAAAAAACAAAATAGAAACAGACTCATAGATACAGAGAACAGACTGATGGTTGACAGAGGGGTGTGGTTCATGGACTGGGTTAAAAAGGTGAGGGGATTAAGCAATACAAATTAGTAGTTACAGAATAGTTATGAGGATATAAATTACAGTGTGGGCAATATAGTTAATAATATCATAATAACTTTGTATTGGGTCAAGGTGGGTATTTAAAATATTGAGCAGACCACTCTCTAAAGTACATAGTCTAACCACTATTCTGTATGTCTGAAACTGATACAAAATAACATTGACTATAAACTGTAATTGTGAAATAATTTAAAAAACAAAAATAAGTGCCTGTGCAAATTAAGAAACTTAAGAAACTTAAGAAAACCACATGCATGCCCAGGGCAGAATGCATGCTGAAAAAAGCCCTGGCTAGTGTGGCTCAGTTGGCGGGAGCATCATCCAATAACTGAGGAGTTTCATTTTAGTTCTGGTGGAGACATGTGCTAGATTGCAAGTCCAATTCCAGGTCTGGTTGCATAGGATCCCAGTCCAGGCTAGTGTGGCAGGCAGCCAGTCGATGTTTCTCTTATACATAGATGTTTCTCTCTCTGCCTCCTTTCCGCTCTAAAAGCAATGAAAAAAAAAAGTTTTCAAATGAGGGTTAAGAAAACAAAGACCGCATACTCAAAAAAGAACTGAGAACTTAAGCTTTTACCTCTAGCTGATCTCTACAATCAGTGCAAGCAGGAAGTGAAGGCCAAGGCAGAATTGTGACAACATAAAAGGTGTTGGGGGAGGTGTATAGGAGCAAAGTTTTTATATGCTATTGAAGCTAACTTGGTATCAGTCCAAATTATACTGTTATAAGCTTAGTGTCTTAATAGTAATCATTATTACCACTAATAAAATATTTATTAAAATATGCAGTAAAGGAAATGAGATGAGAATCAAAGAAGTACACTACAAAAAGTTAACTAAAAGAAGGAAGTAATGGAGGAAATAAGGAACAAAAAAGATATATGGCATAGAGAAATAAAGCAAAATGGTAGGAGTAAGTCCGTTCTTGTTAGTAATTACCCTAAATGTAAATTGTTTAAATTCTCCAGTTAAAGACAGGGATTAGCAGAATAGATTGTTAAAAAACATGATTCAAAAATAAACTCTCTGTCATAAACTAACTTTAGATACAGACATTAATAGGCTAAAAGTGGAAAAATGGAAAAGGATATACTATATAAATAGTAACCAAAAGAGTTGGGGAAGCTACTCTAATATCAGAAAAAGATAGTCCTTAAGTCATAAATGGTTACAAGAGAAAAAAATTACTATACATTAATAAAATAGTCAATTCATCAAGAAGATATAATAATTATAAACTTATACACACCAATAAACAGTGCCAAAATAAATGGAGCAAACATTGACAGAATTGAAGAGAGAAATACACAAATCTACAGTAATAGCTGGAGACTCTGAATACCTACTTTCAACAATGAAGAAAACATCATTAAGGAAATAGAGGACTTAATACTGTAAATCAACTAGGCTTTAACAGAGTATATATATATATATATATATATATATATATATATATATATATATATATATATATATATGGCACTTTATCCAACAACAGCAAGATATACACTTTTCTCAAATGCACATGGAACATTTTCAAGAATAGACCATATGTTAGGCCACAATGCAATTCTCAAAATGTTTTTTTATTATGTATTTTATTTTTATTATTTTTAATTAACATTTTTATTGTTGTTCAAGTACAGTTTTCTGCCTTTCTCCCCCACCCTTCCCCACCACACCAGCCCTCCTCACCTCTCTCCACTGTTTCCTCCCTCCTCATTATTGTCCATGTGTCCTTTATACTTGTTCCTGCAAACCCTTCACCCTTTCTCTTATAATCCCCTCCCCTCTCCCCTCTGCTCACTGTCAGCCTGTTCTCTATTTCAGTGTCTTTGGTTATATTTCACTTGCTTGTTCATTTTGTTGATTGGGTTTCTGTTAAAGGTGAGATCATATGGTATTTGTCTTTCACTGCCTGGCTTATTTCACTTAGCATAATGCTCTCTAGTTCCATCCATGCTGTCATGAAGGGCAGGAGCTCCTTCTTTCTTTCTGCTGTGTAGTATTCCATTGTGTAAATGTACCATAGTTTTTGGATCCATTCATTTACTGATGGGCACTTAGGTTGCTTCCAGCACTTGGCTATTGTAAATTGTGCTGCTATGAACATTGGGGTACATAGGTTCTTTTGGATTGGCATTTAAGGGTTCTTTGGATATAATCATAGCAGTGGAATTACTGGGTCAAAGCTCAGTTCCATTTTTAGTTTTTGAGAAAATTCCACACTGTTTTCCATAGTGGTTGCAATTCTACCAACAGTGTACTAGGGTTCATAGGCAGTACAATCTCAGATATTTCACACAGCAATGTTTTCACTGTCTTGTCCCTAGAACAAGGGACATAAAGGAAAGAATAAACAAATGGGATCTCATCAAAATAAAAAGCTTCTGCATGGCTAAAAAAAAACAGTGTTAAAATGAAAAGAAAACCAACTGTATGTGAAAACATATCTGCCAATGATACTTCAAAATGGTTTAAATGTTTGAAACCATACAAAGTATATTCTCTGACATAAGGGAATAAAGTTAGAAATCAATAGCAGAAGGAAAACTGGAAAATTCACAGATATGTAAAAACTAAACAACATTCTTCAAACAACCAATTGTTTAAAAAATCATAGGGACGTTATAAAATACTGATAAATGAATGAATACAAAAACACAACATACCAAAGCTTATAAGATTCAGCAAAACTAGTGCTCAGAGGGAAACTTACAGTGGTAAGCACTTACATTAAGAAGATGAAAGATCTCAAATCAACAACCTAACTGTTCAGCTTTACAAGCTAGAGAAATGAGTACAGAACAAACCCAAAATCATCAAAAGTAAGGAAATAATAAAGATAGAACACAAATAAATGAAACAGGAGAATAGAAAAACAATGCAGAGAACTAACAAAACAAAAAACTGGTTACTTAAAAAAGAACAACAAAATTGGCAAACATTTAGCTAGAGTAAAGTTAAAAAAGAAAACATGCAAAAGGGATAAGAAATTAAAATAGGTACATTGCTATCATTACAGAAATAAAAAGTATTATAAGAGGATATTATGAACAACTGTACAAAATAAAATTAGATAATCTAGATCAAAAGGAAAACATTCCGAGGTGGCAGTGAGGTAGGTGGGAGCAGAGCCCATTTTTCCCTGTGCCCAGCTGGAACACCTAGCTGATCTGCTGAGAAACAGAGTGAACAGCCAACGGAATCCCACCTTATATGAAGCCTGGAGGCCAAAAATTGTAGAGGACATTGAAAAACAGGTGGTGAGGAGATTGTGCTAGGACGGTAGGGTCCCTGGGATCTGTGCAGGGATCTAGACCACTGTGGCCCCTGGCCAGTGTCTGCCACAGGATATGGGGAGGAGAGTTAGATCACCAGCTCTCTCCCCTACCAGAGCAGGGAGGGCAGCCCAGCACTAGGAGAGACCTGAATGCTGGAAGTCGCTGGGGGGAATAGAGACAAAGTGGAAGACACAGAGACACGATATACATCCCCTGGGACTGTGGACACCAAGTAGGTCATTCCCAGAGAAACTGGGGTGCTGGGTGACACCTGGAGAAGGGAGAAGAGTTGGCAGTGTTGGACCCTGACCCAGATAGTTTCCAGACTGGTTAGAAAGTTGGGCTTTGTGAAAAGTCATGCTGAGGGCAGCTGCTTTGTAAGGAACTCATGAGCAGCTACTGGCTCGCCCAGAGGGTGATTTAAGCCTCTGGCCCTGAGCTTGACTCCCACTGCATGCCCAGAGGCTGAGTGGCTCTGATTTGAGCCTGGCAGCTCACAGAGGACCTGGGCCACAGGTTGGGCAACTGTGAAAAGTGCAGCCCAGACCTGGCCGCTATCCTCATGAAACCATAAGAAAGGGAGAAAAGTGAAGCCCAGAACCCCTCTTCCTGTGGCATCCAGGAAGACCAGCAGAACTGGCTTAATGGGGTTAAAGTCAGCAGGAGGCTTATTTTTTTTTCTTTCCTCTCTCTTTGTTTTCCTTTTTTCTCCCCTCAAGTGAGACAATAAGACATGGAGTTATAAAAGGTCCAGAGACAGATCCAAAGGGGTAGCACAAGGCTAACCACCAAAACTGAGAAACTGAGACAAATGTCACTTTGCTATCCCATAGAAATGGAATTTAATTGTTTATGTGTATTATTATTATTTTTTCATTATTCTTACTACTTTTATTTTATTAGTATTTTTGAAATTTCTCCTCCTTACATTTAGTTTTCTTCGTGTTATTTCTCCTTTTAATTGCATTGCTTGGCTGGTTTTCCTTATTCTCTCTTTATTGTATTTTAATTTTCCTTCTTTCACTTCACTCATGTTCCAGTAACACTCTACTCTTGATCAGGTACTTTCTATGCTGGTGATCCAAATCATATATTTTTGTCATATTATTGTTATTCCAGTACTATTGTAAATAATTGTTGTTCCATACAATTGCACATACTACACAGTAACCCTCCCTGATCTTAGCCTGTAGGGAACTATTTTGTGTGGTGTGGAAATGTAGCTCAGCACTCACGTGGAAAACCAGAGGGGGACTGAGTGGCATGCAGGACCATGCCCATGGAGAGGTTTTCCCATGGGGGAGTCAGGCCTGCATTGTACCTAGACTGCTGAGACTTGCTTTTGCTAAAACTCCCTCACCCTGAATTGAGGCAGCAAGTGCTTACTGTAACTTCCTAAAGTCTGGGCTAAACCTCCCAAGTATGGAGTGTAACCAGTTCAACCACTTTTTCCCCCTGATCTGTAACATCATCTCTTTGAAGTAATTAGCAACATTCTTTCCTTTGTTATCTGTAAAAGGTAATCCCCTGCAGTGAAACTGTGCATAGTAAATGAGGACTCCCCTCCATGTAACATACCCAGAAAAGCAATAAAAGCCTGTCCAGGCAGAGGTCGGGGGCCTCTGGGCCCTCTCTCTCTCTCTCAGAGAGTGGCCATGCGATCCCTTTTTCTCCACAGGACTTCTCTTGTCTGTGTGTATTTGTTCACTAGCAGCCACAACATACACGGATCCTGCAGGCCAGATCCGCCACACTAGCCCACTTCACTTTATTCCTGAGCATTATTATTGTTGTGGTTAATTCTACTGTCTTGCCCACTACTCCTGCTTTCTATCCTTTAGTCTCACTATATTTCATCATCTAATCTTGCACAAGTGATCTGTTTTCTAGATTCAGCTCGCAATCCTCCCTTCTAACAAGAGTCTTATCTCTCTTTCAACTTTTATAAAAAGTGGCTAGTTGGGTGAAATATCACAGTCAATGCTATACTTATCCAAAGAATCTCTTATCTTTTCTCTACTTGCTAGCACTTTAAATCCCATAAAATACTCTCCCGCTGTCTTAACCCATTTTGCCTACCCCCTGCCACTGATCACATACAAAGAGAGGTGGGAGCTGTGAGCATCAGTATACCCACAGGAGGAGAGAAACCACCAACAAGAGAACCACCAAAAGGTAAAAACCCAAGTACAAGAAAGTCCA